TGAGTGATGTGATGACGTTCATCAAGTGTGACGTCATAATTTGAACGTCCACCACGTGGTTAGACCTCGGTAACTTTGTTATAAAACGAAATATATTATGTAATTTATAAAGTTGACCTTTTTTTTATATGGAGCGCTGAGTCTCGCTGCGGTTCAGAATTTTAGAATGAGAAATTTGGTTATGCACGTTTTTGGGGTAATTTGTTGTGAAGCGAAATTATATTTTTCTTGTGTTTGATGAGATCACGAATAAGACTATTTTAATTGTGTTTGACTTATCACGAGAGATAGCATCGATTTAGTTTTGCTGTTAAGGGTTGGACTTACAAATATATTGACGTTTATTTGAATTTTTTTATGTTTTGACAATTAAATTGATGAAAATCTGTATGATTAATTGACGATGGTGTTCGTTCCGAGAAAAATGTTTTAATTTGAGTTATGAGATCGTTGCATTAACAGAAATTCGATTATTTATTAGACGACCACCTAAACATGGAATCATTTTATTTACAAGTTAGCTTTTTTAGATTAGGAGTAATGGTTAAAATAATAAATACATTTTTATTTTAGAATCGACAATTTTACGTTTTACCCGATAAGTTAAACAAAACCTAACTCATCTTTAAACGTTTTTTTTTATTTCAATATTGATATCGCCCCCCCCCTCCCCTTGCAAACTGTCAGCCGTTTTAATTAATTGTTGCTAGCAATTTAGCGGACGTATAATATTAATTCCCAGATTATTTGAATGGTGCGATATGTTTATGTACAATATGTCCCGTGAGCCCATATAAGGAGATAAATATGTTTTGTTAACATCAAGTTGTCATGAATACCCGAAATAAGAGTGAAACTTGCTTGATAATAGCCCTTTTTTCTTGTTTTCTGGAAATGTTTGCTTCTATGGAATCAGAAACATTTTTATTGTGAATATAACCGATGAAATACCGGTCATAATTTTAGTTCTCGTTTTTGTTTGGTTTACTTGTTTTAGTTACTGACTTCAGAGCGAAATGCCTTAACTTCTGTTGCAAATTTACCATTATTATCATGATACTTTTCATGTAAAATTTTAGATATCGCCAAATAATACATTACATTTCTGTCTTATGAAAGAGAATGACTGCAATTCTACCTCCGCATTTTTAGTCTTAATGATGATAATTTTTGTCGCTGACTTGAGTGTTTAATTAATAAATATCTAATGTAACTTATCTCGTTTATCTTGTCTAAAATCTCTAACGATCGAATTAAAATCGCACACCTTCACAATACATCTAAAATGCAAAGTGTGGTAGTGTAAAATAGTGTAATAAATTTCGTGTAAAAATAGATATTTAAAAATAGTTAGCGTAAAATTGATGTAACTTATTATTTATATCAATTTCCTATTATATATATGTTACTATGGAGGAAAAAATTACGGTGGCTAATGGGTGATATTTATTTCGTTGGCCCTCAAATGGTCCTGCAGATCCAGTCTTAACCTTAATTTTAAATTGGACATAACTTTTCTTGCTGAGTAGCTCTGAACGTTCGGGTATAGATGCTGTTAGTGGAAGACTGGCCTCCAGCTCGCCATTTTTGAGATTCAAGCAAATCGATTTGAAGTTCAAAGGAGTGCAGGATGTTCAGCTCGACAAAATACGATAGAATTTATTTCATAGGGGTAAAACCTAATAGTTGGGTTAAAAGGGCGACTGTTGGTATTATCATAAAATCATCATAGTCCTAACAATGATTAAAGGGCTCCATCTAATCTAAGTACATGAGTAGAACCTGATTACACCTGGTTAGCTTTAGTAAGCAGACTTACGGCCGGATGCCGACGGCTTGTATTCAGAGGGGAAGAGTCGGTGACGTACATAATTGTCCACAAGGTCTTCGGATAAGTTCCCCACCTAATAAGGTGGACCTTTATCTCAAAGAGAGCTTTTTGAGTTTAGATTAATTTCGATCCACAGTTTTAGGGTTCCGGTCCACGGTATTATAAACCGATGTAACTTTAAGATTTAGTAATTGTTATTCCCTAATTCATGATTCAATTTTGAAGAACTTTTGGTAGAGGCTAACTGTATTATATTAATTTTAGCGGTCTGTTACTAATTAACAAGTTGAAAGAGTAACATAATTAGGCCGGCAGAATATCGGTATTGGGTTTAATAAGAGTACTGTAGTGTAACTATAGTCTACCTGGGACTCACCCCATGGTATGCATGCATTTTACTTTATAAAATTAACTGAACTTACTTTTAGTTATTTACGAATATTTTAAATTTATGGACATGTTACTTGCCTTCACGGGAAATGAATACAATATGTTGGTATAGAAATAATAAACTGCCTTTAACTGGGCCTAGCTTTTTCCCCGGGTATACGATATGTTACGTTTTTACTTAACCTCTTGTTTGGGTAACTTAAACTTAACAAACGACCTTTGGTGTGCCGGACTCCAAGAATATTAATAAAAGAAAACACGGGTTAGTTGTAAACGTATGTTGGACGAGTTCGTTTCGTTTACTCAGAAGATGAATCCGAGATTGTGGAACCAGATGATACGGTTTTTGAGGCATTTTGATACGGTCATTTTAGTCTGTTAAAGTAGTTTCAGAATGCTGGAAATGGTTTCACGGTGTAGGGGGATGTGTTTACTAACTATTTTGACGCCAAAATTGTCGCCAGAGGCTACCTGAGTCATGGAATGAATGGAATGAACAAAAATGAAATTTTTTCTAAAACTCGTCGGATTGCCCAGGATTACAAACAAGCAGCAAGCATGTGAATCCTTCTTGATAAGGTTCAGATCACGTTTGATCGCATGCAGGGTTCTTGTCTCCGATAGATCAGATCATTGTCTTCTAAGAAGATCATATCCTCGTTCTTGCCCCCTCTGGCTCCTGTGGATCTCATCATTACTCGATAAGCATCGGATCAAATGATTGCCTCAAAAACCGTATCATCTGGTTCCACAATCTCGGATACTCAGGAATTAGCTTAATTAGATAGGAAATGGAACCAAGTCTCTAGTGGGCGTTCTGGGAGTGCTAGGGCCACCAAACTTTGCAGGAACACTATTAGGGTCAATACCAAACGATTCCGACCTGTTTTGGGGCAATCCGACGAGTTTTAGAAAAAAATTCATTTTTGTTCATTCCGTTCATTCCATGACTCAGGGAGCCTCTGGCGACAATTTTGACGTCAAAATAGTTAGTAAACACATCCCCCTACACCGTACAACCATTTCCAGCACTCTGAAACTACTTTAACAGACTGAAATGACCGTATCAAAATGCCTCAAAAACCGTATCATCTGGTTCCACAATCTCGGATACTCAGGAACTAGCTTTTTGATACGGAAATGGAACCAAGTCTCTAGTGGGCGTTCTGGGAGTGCTAGGGCCACCAAACTTTGCAGGAACACTATTAGGGTCAATACCAAACGATTCCGACCTGTTTTGGGGCAATCCGACGAGTTTTAGAAAAAAATTCATTTTTGTTCATTCCGTTCATTCCATGACTCAGGGAGCCTCTGGCGACAATTTTGACTTCAAAATAGTTAGTAAACACATCCCTCTACACCGTACAACCATAATTATCTATTTTTGATCCAAATTATAGTCAAAATAACGTTGGTTCCAAACCGTATCAAAACCGTATCAAAACCGTATCATTGGTTCCAAATTGGTTCCAAAATCTCGTTTACTATACACGTCAATTGATCATTTAGACTTTACAACTTTTGTTTATTACTTTTTGCAAACAACTAAACAAAGCTAGATATCCGAGTCTTTTGCGAATTCAGGTGACGATGTAGAAGTTCTTGAGGTTCTTTTGACATGCAAAAGAATATGTGCATTTTAATTTGTTATCTTCAATTTGAATGGATAAACTGAAAGTTTTGAACTTACCTTTAACGATTCTAATTAAAAATTCTAATCAAAATTGCAATTGACACTATACTGCTTCAAGTACACTTTTATGAAACTCGTAGTCGAACTCCAGGATTGGCACCATTTATTTTAACAAACTTTCAATGTTCGGGAATCCCGGGATTTAAAAATGAGATCGGGAATGACTTCACTAGTTTGCAAGCATTAAATTTGTAAATCTATTGCTTACACGTGCAGTATTTAGACAATTTCAAATTGGCTTTGTGAGCCACTCATAAATTACATAGGAGAATTTTACTCATTTTAACCCCATCTACCATCGTTGCCTTAAGTCTTAAAATTGAAAACCCCTCGTATCACCAGACAATTGGGGGGGGGGGGGGGGGGGGAGGCATCAACCTCATGGTTCTAGCCTAGTTATATAATTATATATATATAACTATATATAGTAATTTGACCAAAACCCATCATGGGTAGAGTGGACCGCTGCCAGTGCTCTCTTTTCCAAACAAAAGGAAATGTCAATGATATTAATTTGAATAACCGTCCGCAAATGCAAAATGATACCGACAACCGAGAATGAAATCGGTCGCTCGCTTTTATGTGGAGGTTTTTCCTTTAAAACCTCCACATAAGTGTTTATTATTCCTGTCATCTTTGACATTATAAATATAAATTAGAATGTTTTGAACTAAAAATAAACCTGTTGAACGACTTTCCATTATATGAGCCTTAATGCCTGAAAAACAGCTTCTCCAAGTTATTAAATTTAAAGTAAAGGCTCTGTGCTATTGGCTATGAGTATGGTCATGTCTACTTTTATTATGTGTAAACATTTGGGACCTACACGTTGATATTTTATCAAACACTTTATAATCAGAGCTATACTATTGTTTATTTTTAATTTTAATTTTAATTTTTTGTCCTATATAAATCAAAATTCCGATCAGTAACATTTAAGGTCATGACTCAATGAGACAATTTTACTTACTTTAGATTACATCGATTCAAAAATAGATCGTAGTTTAAAAGTTATTACAATAAACGTTACGGTCTGTACTCTGTACTTAAACATAAACTTTATTTGGTAATGATAACACCTTTCAGAATGGCAGAATGTGGACAACAAGATGTGGAACTGGAAGGGTTCGTTAAAAAAGAAGTATCAGACATCGACACCTTTCAGTCAACTACAATCTTTTATCAAATAACGCGTCCAAGTTTGAAGATGATACAAAATATCACCTTGACCTCGAAATAAAGACCGAAGATTTAACAGCCGAAAATTTCGAACTTGGAAATGGAACTGCACAATTGTTTTTAAACACTGAAGGAACAAAAATAGAAGTATTGACCCCAAAAAGTGAACCTCTAGACGGTGAATGTAATGCAAGTCCAGCCAGCTCCTCTCTTTCTGATGATCCTCTCAATACCAACCCTCAGAACAGTGTGGATATCTCCCAATCTATTAGTATTGGAGAAACTGTTCTGTCTGAACGCAATTTAAAGAAGTACATGTCGACTCGTACTGGAGAGAAACCTTATAAATGTGATGTTTGTAGCTACTCAGCCGCGCAAATTAGCCATCTTATTTGTCACAAACGAAAACACGCCGGAGAGAAACCTTATAAATGTGATATTTGTAGCTACTCAGCCTCGCAAAATGGCGCTCTTGCTTCTCACAAACGAATACACACTGGAGAGAAACCTTATAAATGTGATGTTTGTAGCTACTCAGCCGCGCAAATTAGCAATCTTATTTGTCACAAACGAAAACACGCCGGAGAGAAACCTTATAAATGTGATATTTGTAGCTACTCAGCCTCGCGAAGTGGCACTCTTGCTTCTCATAAACGAACACACACCGGAGAGAAACCTTATAAATGTAATATTTGTAGCTACTCAGCCTCACAAAGTAGCCATCTTGCTTCTCACAAACGAATACACACTGGAGAGAAACCTTATAAATGCGATATTTGTAGCTACTCATTCACGGGAAGTGGCGCTCTTGCTTCTCACAAACGAATACACACTGGAGAGAAACCTTATAAATGTGATGTTTGTAGTTACTCAGCCACGCGACTTGACACTCTTATTTGTCACAAACGAAAACATACTGGAGAGAAGCCTTATAAATGTGATGTTTGTAGCTACTCAGCCACGCAAATTAGCAATCTTACCACCCACAAACAAAAACACACTGGATTCTTACCTGGGGATCCCAGGCTATAATGTTCATAAATAAACGAATAGAGATTAGGCGGAATGACAGTCTGAGCGCCGCCCAGTAAACTGGATTCTGGAAAGAAGATTTACCCATATTGCCTATAGTTTGTGTAACTACAGGGCTAGCCGATCAAGTAGTTTGAAGAGAAATTAAATATAGTGATTCACGCTAGAGAGAAACTTTACCTATGGGCCATGTACTATGTAGTTTGTGTAATTCCGACTCTTGCTACATCAAATAGTCTAGGATTTTAAATAAAACGGCGAATTGTAGTCATTCGAAGTCACACCTCACACGTGTTGAATTATACTAAAGAACGTTGTAATTATATTGTTTCAATAACGATTTGGATTTTCCTATTATATAATTTCAACTTGCAACTAAAATTGATTGTTCTAAAAGTTCTGACTTGTTTCCTTTTGTGATTTTCACATATTTTTTGTGTAAAAATTATTTTTCATTTGAACATTTTGATTTAAAATTTACCACCTGCTCCAGCATCCAGTCGAAGCCGCGGATCCTTGATCTATTGCTACTATTTTTACTGCAATGTCTTAATTCCGTGATGCTCGCTAAATCAGCTGGATCCACTGTACTACATTTACATTTCCATGAATTTTTCTGAACCGAAACTTTGCATTAAACTCACAGACAGGTGATCGTTAGATAAATATTAATTATAATACATGTTGTATACCTACCTCTTTTCGCGCGTGAAAAGTGGTATATACAACGTGTATACACTATACATTGATCTACATGTTTCAGCTTCTATAGCCATAGGATTGGTATAGAAATTTGCTTTTCCAATATATTGTGTAATTGGTGAGTAACGTTAAATCTTTAAGTTCTCTATTTAGGGGTTCAAAACAATTAGGGACAATTTAAATATTACGAAAGCCAGCATAAAATTTGCGGATCAGCGCAATTTGGTTTATTCATTCTATATTAACATATAACTTAATATTGAAACGTGTCGATGAGAGAATGTATCATTTGTAATATAATACCCAAATGGAGTAATCATGGTAGCTTTGCAGAAATAAAACTCAGGGTTTGATAATAACATAATTGTATTAAGAGGTTAAATAATTTAATGGAAAATAAGATTAAACAATTTAGAAGTGGGTAAAGACGATAAATTGCCACTTGATCAAAGAGTTCCCGGCGATTAATCTATTTCTTAAATATATTTTATCATTAATAGTGATTTACTTGACTGTAAAGTGTTAAATTGTGTATCAATAAAACGTTGCTAACTTTATCCTATAGTTACCATGACTAAAATACAAAGTTGAAAGTGGAAAGAAAGACTTCATATAAATAGTTCGAAGCTGAAATACCATAATACTTCTCATAAGGAGTCCTAGATGTGTCTCATAAAATTAATAAAATTGTCATTGTTTGTCTTAACATCTCCTGCCCCTGTAGCAGAGTAAGGACCGACAACATTGATTGTTGTTTCTTAACTTAATGCAATTAAATCTGTGAGTCCTGCACACACTACCAGGAATTGTACCTGAAATAGAAAGTATAATAATAATGAAGCAGGCAAGTTAGAGTTTACTACATTAACACTTTTATCAAATTATTGATGTAAAAATATGAGCCAGCCTGCTGAAAGCTGGTGTATGTATAATAAGTCTATCGCAAAGATAACGTGTAAAATGATTTAAGAGGGGAGGAGAAGGAGACTAAGAAGGTAAATTAAATTGGTTTAAATTAAATGTGAACGATCTCTTACCATCATATTTATTGACAACAGCCTCCCCCAGCAAGGTGTGGCATTCCAACGCTGATAGTTCCCTCAACATGCAGGGACACGTTATGAGTCGGGGTGGCTGTGAACTTGTTATACTTATAGGACATTGTGTTGTAGCCCTGGATACTGAAAACAATGTTTTTATATCTCGTTACAGACCATATTGTTATAGTTAGAACTTGCAACACTTTTTAATTGTTAATAATAATATGCTTGTTGAATGTTGGGCTTGCAATGAGGTAGAAAGCGAGTGATCCATAACATCGCAATAAACCTGGTTTCCAAGCTCAGACTTGTAAATTGTTGTAACAAATCCTAAAACTTACCTTCAATCTCCTCCGCGAAATCATCATTAGAAACAGACATCACGTCTGCTTGACCCAAAGAAACAATAACGAAAAAAACGAACAAAAACTGCATCTTCTCCACTGAATCTGAGAAATTTACATGTATCAGATAGAAATATTCCACAATTTAAAAGTACTGACCGTACCCCTCTTTTATACAGGAATAAGTCTCAGTTCCCAGGTATGTACCGCTCACTTGATCAGCTCGAAACAGACCCCTGAGTAGGCCCTGGTTTGTGGAGGTGAGCACGATCTACAAAATGGAAACTATGTTTTTGGTGCATTTCCACCTAATATCAGGGAATATTTTGAAGTGTACTTTTTGTTAACTCGACTCTCCCATGAATATTGAGTAACCACTGTGCACATGGAACTAGATTTAGAAACTACTCGACTGAGAGTTAAACGGAAGTTAAAGCGGAATCTTCACGCGGGATGAAGAACATTTTATTTCACTGGAGTAGAGGGGGATTTTGGGGATTCTTTTGGGTCCATCTACTTAGGATGTCCGGCAAATAAGGAGGGGGTGGTTTTGGAATTTCGGACAAATCCGGACAGGGGAGGGGGTGGTCTGAAAATCTGAGATTTTGACGGACGTCCTAAGTAGATGGCCCCTTTGTTTCAGCTGATATTTTAAAATTAAATTTACCCCGATTAGGTATCAAAAGCAAAGTAATAGTGTTGCTACACAATAGTTTTTAACATAAAGTTATTTAAAATAAAAATAATATGTATTTATATCATAATCATAACCATACCCTCTCAAGAAAATCACAAAGTCAGATGTGTCTTTATCACTATCGAGAGATTCTACCCAGCATCAACAATCAAAATCAGGATCGAATATAAATACAGAATACAAATGATTTTCATCTGCCACCGGTCCCACCCTTTGACTTTAATTCATCCAACTTAAAAGAGACTGAGACGGATAGCAGCTTCAAACGTCATTACATACTGTCTCTCGTTTCTATTTCTCATCAAATCCAGTACGCGTTATAAATACCATAAAAAACATAATAGTATTAGTAACTACTTTTCAAACAAGTGAAACACTCGAAATATGTGGCCGGCAGACGAATCGTTTCATGGAATATAGTTGAACAATAGTTCAAACTTCAAATTACAAATTATGTAATATCAAGTACAATTATGTAATATTAATGACATGATATTCTTTTGTATTATATTTTTCTTTACATTTTACGTGAAGCTCAGTCGTGCGGTACGGGTAGTGTTTGGTGACACTAATGACAATGTCTAATACATGTATTAATTGCACAAATGCAAAACTATTGCACCGATTGCGAAAGATACCTGGCCGGAGAGTCAGCAACCTGGAGCATGGAGAGAGGTTTGGAGAGAATTAACAATTCGAGTTCAAGGAGGTATTAATTATCAGCATCATAATTAGTATCATTAGTCACTAATAAATAAATAAGTAGTACCATGCAGTGGTAATGACATAGTCATAATCTGTTTCACAGTGCAGCCATGATAGTGGTTATGTCTCAACACTAACATCGCGTACTTTTAGTGAAATGAAATATATTGTGTAATGCCAATGGTGAAAACTATGACTTAATTTCTGCAGAATATCACGAGGAATATAATAGTTAAGAATTTGACTTTTAGAAAACATGTTCATGACAACGACATACGATGTGGTCGTTAAAATTCGATCTTCAATATATTCAGTCTCTAGCATCTAGACGCCATTCAAATTTGAAATTACTCTCCACTCATTTACATGTTTACCATTCCTCCATTTCATCGATCTGGATATATCTAGAAGAAATAAACAAACTTTTATTATCAAACATACTTATAGGCAAACACTGCAAATACTTATTAAGGTTTAAAGTGGAATTAGCTTACCTGAGGACCTCAGGCTTTTCTGTTCATATAAACAAATTGTGCTTGTAGAATTTATATCATAAACCGATCATAAACCGATTGCAGATGCGGCAGAAACAGAATGACAGGCTGAGCGCCGCCCAGTAAGGAATAAGGATTGGCTTGAGGCCGAGATAAACAGTAAGAAAAGCTGACCTAATTCTAATCAGCTGAAAATAAGTGGCATGGCAGGTGAGATTGTTTGTTGTTAACTTAATCTGCTTCCCTTATCACTTATAGTTATAGTTATATCACCATTCACCGTGTAACTGTAAGACTAAGGAGATGGTGCAGTGCTCGGTACATGCAGATAAAACATTGTTGTGAGTAGATAATAGTGAATGAATGGGGCCGCTCGTTGGCACGAGAACCACGTCATCCGCGTCTGCTTATGACATTAATAACTGTTTAGTGCAGTTGGATCTAGAAAATTAGTTAGAATAGAGCAGGAGGAAAAGAAATCAATTATACATATATGTATATCAGTGTGTTGTATTTGGAATCTTAATACTGTTTAAATTTTATATCTTTATTCTATATTTATTATTTTATACTTATGTGAATGTCTAAGTCTATTTAAGACTATTTAAGTGTATTTTATGTAAAATCATTTATTACTTTTATGTTTTATTACTATTATATTCATATCAGACCTATAGTGAACAAATAATAATATGTGTTGAAGGGATGACCCTGATAGTAGGTAGTGCGCCATCGACAGTGAGCCGCGCGTGCCGACTGTAGGATGGTTTTTTAGCGCTAATTTCGGCCAGCACAATTTTCTTCAAACAAATAGATATTGAGTATCCTTCCCGACCTCCGATTGCAACAAAAATTGGTAAGCTTACTCATAGACTTACAAGAAAAGTGTCCGAAAAATTTAAAGCATATCCAACCATCAGACATTATGTTACAGCTAAAAGCAGCTTAACGGGTGATACTCGTAAAATATCTCAATCTGTTCCATATATTGTGTATTGGCAATTGGACCGTCGACGAGTCCAACTCGGCGCGCGTCCTGGTAGGTTGTAAACCTACAAAAAGCAGCGTATTTTGCCCCATTTTGATCACTATATGAATATCAACTCCGATATCCACCAAATTTTTCGGACAGTTGTGAAAGCTGTTAGGTAGGGGTATAGTGAATTGAAGGTGAACAGGTTTGCAAATATCTCACGGCCTGTATTAGTATCTTATAAAATATTTATACTGAGAGACGGGTAGTCGGTCGATTAATTTAAAGTCTTTATCAATTTAGAAAATATTAGGAGTCAGCGTAACAAGCTGAAAGTTGTAAGGTTTGTATGATTGAAATGTCTCACGGCGTGAAGCTGTAGTTAGTATTTTAAGCCGTTGTAAATTAGTAGTTATTTGGAATTGTGACGTTCCCGGTGGGAAAAGTAGTGGCTTGAAGATTGTTAAAGTTTCAAATTTATTAGAACTTATAGTTAAAAGAATACTTACAATTATTTTAACAGCATTGATTTTTGATTATTGTGTTGACGAACTAGCCGAGGTGTTACAAGAGTGCCATGAGAATCAACTCCCCCTTCAACTCCCCAAAGACCTGTCAACCAGCAGTCTACAAAAAGGGGAGCTCGCCTGCTGCTCGCCGCCTTCCGCCTTTCGCCTTCTGCATTCACCTGTTCCTATCATGGCCCGGGGTCTTGCTCTGCTGTATCCGTTCTCTCTCCACATGTTACTCATTTCTATTATAGGTTCGTAATTTAGATTAAGTTCTTAATCATGTTATTGTCATTGATTGCATTCGTATCAAAAGGTTGATGTTAAAGATTAGTTCGTACTTAGGTCAATTTCCGTCGTATAATGCTTAATATGCTGTTAATATACATAATATCTCATCAGATTCCTCGCACTACTAGTACTATCTGTTCCCGATAGATCCTTCCAGAATTAGGCTATGGAGTTCCTTTCCTGAGGTAAAAATCTTACGTAAACCTTAATCCATCGTTCATAATCATAGCACTTTTCCACTTGTTAACGTTGACGATTGTAGTATTATAGTTATTTCCTGTGTACTAATTATTAGTTCTAATAGTTATTAATTTCCAGGCAATATGACGGTGATACCCAACCCACTTGCTCTGCCTGTCCTCACCTAAGCTCCACCAGTCGTATTGCTTCGTAAGTTTATTACGTCTTCATTAAGAGGTTCCTACGATAGATTTTCCCTTAATTTAACTTAATCAATCTGAATATTGTCACTACTTAAACGCTCCGTACTTATAATTATCTTACTTCAGATTGATTCCCCCCTCCTTCCTCGAGAACCGTTCGTCACTATGTTAGATCCTCGGGATGACCATGCAAGATGGTTCAGTTCTAGTTGACATTCCACTATATGAAAAGACCAGATCGCCACTTTATATTCTTATTCCTTGGTTAATAAATTATACTTATAGTGATTCTAGTTCGTAAGTTATCTAGAAGTAGGAAATTAATACCTATATTCCGTATAATTAGTGTGGTCTATTAAATTTGTATTGATATATGATCTCTTCAGAGAGAGAGAGAGAGAACCGGAACAGCGACCTCGTGAATCATCCTATTTAATCGCTTCACCCTCGCCACATTCGCTACTACTTCAATTATTGGGGTAAATGGACATTAAGACTAAGTTATGAGATATGAGAGTTAAATTAATATTGTAGTCCTATTTAACCCAATTATTTTACAACCCTTTATTAATTTGTTTTAATTGGTTATCTTCCAGATATAAATTCACCTTAAATTCTGAAATCCATAATTACAATAGAAATTACTGTCCTAAAATTGTATCTGTACAAAGAGAGTTTGGGCTGGGACTACTTCCCCGAGAGAGTCTCAAACCGGAGGTATTCCATAATATCGGAACCTGAATTTCCATACTCTAGTTAAAAGGAGCCCATTATACGTAGTTAAATTAATGTCATCTAAATTTAATGAAATATAATAAATAAATAATCTCTAGAAGTCATGGAAAATTGGAGCATTAAATAGGCCGTTAAGTAAGTTGTCGTGCTGAAACCCGAGTACGCCTCTTAACAAAAGCCCTATTTGCTATTAGTATTTGAAGGTCTTCGCCAATTTTCAGAATGATCTCATTCAAGGAACCGAATAATACGACAAAAATCAACGAATTTGGTCAAATTACGCGACTTTTACCATTTTGCATTTACAGCTATTTTTGCTCCAAAAGCTGCGCAGCATCAAATATGGCACCTAGGCGAAACTCACTGATCTTTCCAAAAAGGTATGACAAATTTGGTATTGTGAAAATTCTCACAGTCTTTAGAAAACAGTGGCACAAAAATTTTAAAAATCCGAGCAAGTTTATTTTGATCGTGCACCCCCTACTGATAGTGATAACAAATCTTTTTCCGTGGTTCTAAAATAAATATGTTGTTGTTGATGACATGGACAGAAACAAATTTTGCAGAAAATTCGGGAAAAGAAATTAACCGCGATGAATCGGCCATCGGGTTACTGGGCGGCGCTCAGCCTGTCATTCCGCCGAATCTTTGTTATGTTTATGAACATAATAGCCTGGGGTCCCCAGGTAACCATCGGGGTTTGCGGTAATGGCAAATGGGTAAATCAGTTGTCACACGTTGTAGGTTTACAACCTACCAGGACGCGCGCCGAGTTGGACTCGTCGACGGTCCAATATATGGAACAGATATTTTACGAGTATCACCCGTTAAGTCACACGTTGACCTTGTAGAACTAAAACTGCCGCGCAGTACAAGTAGTAAAACGACAATGAGGGTCACATGATGAACGTAATACAATTACAAGGTAAATCAGGGTTTTTGGTTTTACTATGCAATAATTTTGAGAACTGTGGTGTGGGTTGATACATGTTACGTATCCCATTGATATTGTCATACGTTGTATGACCCCCCTGTAGCGTCACTATAGTGAAACGACCGTGGGGGTCACCACGTGATACAAGGTTGATACATGTTACGTATCGCCGCCGCGAATCCGCGAAGCGGCGGCGCGCGCTTCGCGCGCGAAAAGTGGCATGCAACGTACAACGTATGTCAAGATGTGGGCTGTTTTGTGTTTGTATTCAGCAGATTAAGGAGGAGTCGCAGTGAAAAATATATATCACTATCAGGTATGGAGTCAAAGTTTCAGCTGAAACCATCATGGTGCATGGTTGTTTTTATTTGAAAAATACATTTGAATTTTGTTCCGTTTTCCGCTTTTTCAACTTTGCTATTGAGTACCAACATAAACATTTTAAAGAACTTATGGCATGGGCAATTTTGCAAGGTTGGCGCTTATCCAAATAGGGAAACTAGTAGACCTTTCTAATTGCAGCATCAGTTGCAGTGTTGCACATTGCACAAGTCCTGCCCCTGGAAGGTTGCCCGGCCACGTGCTGCCGGCAGCACGTGGCCGATCACACGTACATTACTCATACATGAGTCATAGCAGTAGCACCGACAACCGACCAAGCACGAAATAGTACTTAGGCCTAGGGTTACTGGGCGGCGCTCAGCCTGTCATTCCGCCGAATCTTTATGTTTATGAACATAATAGCCTGGGGTCCTCAGGTAAGCCTAGGGGCCATCTACTAGTATTACTACTTAGGACGTCCGCCGAAATCGTAGATTTTCAGATCACCACCCCCCCCCCTGTCCGGGTGTGTCCGAATTTTCAAAACCACCCCCTCCCCCGGACGTACGGATTTCCAGCTACTTTTAAAAGTACAGTTGTGGAACACAACAAGAAAATTGAGAATAATCTTGTGCGAGGGTAGGGACCCAGATGTCGTTTCTAACCCAAATAAACTTTAAGGAGGCTTCTCATCAGTAGCCGTACCTCCTTACTCGGTTTCTGAACTGGAATTCTATTTCTATGGGCTTCCAGACGGCCAGACCGAGTATTACCATCCCATCCTTCTATACTAGAGTCCATCACAAGTAGCACCCACCTTGAAGATCTTTGACACCCAGACACACCCCATTGGCGAACAAACTTTGGATATAATCTTACATGCTCCCGAAGGAATCCGTGGTTTATGGTCTTTCTCATCGTCACCAGCACTTTCACTAGAGAGTAGAGTCACCAGCGCTTTCACTGTAGTCATCAGCCCAATCACTGAAGTGTACAGAAGTACAGTTGTGGAACACAACAAGAAAATTGAGAATAATCTTGTGCGAGGGTAGGGACCCAGAGGCCAGATGTCGTTATTCTAACCCAAATAAACTTTAAGGAGGCTTCTCACCAGTAGCTGTACCTCCTTACTCAGTTTCTGAACTGGAATTCTATGGGCTTCCAGACGGCCAGACCGAGTATTACCATCCCATCCTTCTAGAGTTCATCACAAGCTTAGCACCCACCTTGAAGATCTTGAAATGAAACCAACTCAAATTCATTGCTATTGTTAATAAAATTCAAAGAGTTGAAATAAATGAAACTTTTTCGTTAATTCTGCCAAAATTTCCGGACGTCCGGATTTTCTGAAACCACCCCTCTCCCCCTGTCCGGATTTGTCCGAAATTCCAAAACCACCCCTTCCCTATTTGCCGGACGTCCTAAGTAGACGGCCCCTTACCACGCGCCTCCAATGTGGATTGTGCAGGGATGTCCGACTTTAAACCAATTTATAGCTTAATTGACGATGTCAATCCTTCGCAGATCGGCGTGGCCCAGTCTAGTAGTAGTAGTGCAATATGCATCTTGCCGATCTAACGAAGAAACATTAATTGTGATTTGATGCGCGGAGCGGCCCAGAAGTTGGTAGTGCATTGCATGGCACTACAACCAATTAGCTAAATTCGTGCGGCTAGCCCGCAATATAGTCATAGAGCCGCAACTATATTACATATTAGGCGTGTCCACTGTCCAATACCTGTTTTACCGGTATAGCTTTGCTTTGTCATACGTTGTATGACCCGTCTGTATCGTAGAAACTCTACAGGGGTAGAGTTCCACTATAGTGAAACGACGATGGGGGTCACGACGTGATACAAGCTTTGCTTTAACATTCATCTAACCGGGCCGTGAGTTTTCCATTTTGAGTCTTGAAACTTTATTGAACAATTATGGCCATAATTTTAACTTATAACACGGATAAATTTGAAAAAAGAAAAAAAGAAACATTTTGAAGTGTCGTAAATAAATATAAAACATATTTCAAAGGAGCTAACACATAAGTCTCACTAGTACCGATATATATTATTACTCATCATACACACTAACACCTTGCCCACGTGCTGCCCCGCGCGCGCAGCGGCGGGTATCAAAAAATTAAGTCTCGTGACGTAAGACAAACGAACACATACAAATCTTCCTTTTTACCTTCGAACATGGCAAAACTACTTTATATGGTAATGTATTATGTAATATGTAACCATAGCAACACTACCTCATATGGTAATGTGATTGTAACCATAGCGACACTACTTTATATGGCAACCACTAACCATGTACCCAAATGGGATATGGTAGTTTCATATTTTTATCTAAACGAAATGCCCGAAAAACGTAACAAAGCATTAAAATCATACAGCAAACTGCAAAGATTTGAATTTGGCGGCTGAAACTTAAAAGGGCTTGTTTACATATTAATTTATTACGAAAATTTAAGCCAGGTTTTTATCATTTCAATTTTTAGACCATACCCACCGTGATCCATCACTCTTGTTAGGGTAACATGCGAACAATCCCAAGTTAAATGTTAAAATTAGAAGGAAATCAGTATTTTTTCAATTATCTCAACCGCCAATTTCAAATGTTTCCACTTAAAATACACTAATAATAATAAAATAATAATAATAATAAAATAATAATAATAATAAAACGACAAAATATATCCGTTTAATCCGTTTAATGGTGATCTAACACTACCTTATATTATATGTCACCATAGCAACGACACCAAAAACCAAATCCGGCACTTGTTGCTTCACAATTTCTCTGATACTGAATGGAATCAGACATCAGTGATGACCGATGGTATGATTAAAGCAAATACTTGCTTACTTAAACAGAACATTTTTTTACAAAATCATCAAATGAGACTCAATAGTCAATAACAGTACATAATTACAAATTAATCAGACTACCTTATATGATAGTGTTACCTTAGCAACACTACCTAACTACCTTATAATATGGTATAGTAATGTAACCTTAGTTATCTTACTATCTATAAAGCGAGACTTCCCGCGAAAACCGTGAGAGATAAACCATTCAAATTTTCTTGACTGGGTCGAATGCTTTTATGGCCTTTTGACCAGTATAAAGAAATTAAAAATTGGCCAAGGAATAAGAATTTTAGCTCCCGAAATTGGTGTCAAAATCACTGAATAAATAATTATTGTTGTCTCCTGACGCCACTTCAGGGTTAGCCGGGTTCCTGCTAGTATAACTTTAGCAACGCTACCTTATATGGTTATGTAACCATAGCAGCGCTATCTTATATGTTTATATAACCAACACTACCTTGGGTATTATAACTAAAGCAACGCTACCTTATTTGGTAACTTAACAACAGTAACATTACCCTGTATAGTGTATGGTAACGCAACCATAGCAGCACTACCTTATCTGGTAACGTAACCATAGCAACACTACCTTATTTGGTAACGTAACCATAACAACACTACCTTACATGGTAATGTAACATAATCACACTAAAGTTCGTCATGATATTTAGCACACCCGTTGAAACCCATAACAAGTGGGTTCCCGCACCAATGCCTCTTGTACTGAGGACCGTCCCAAAGGAACGGCTGACTTATACAGATCAGGATGATAATAATTCTAATGAGAGTCTTAAAGCAGATAGTCATGTACTCGGACTTTGAGGGAGGTAGCTCGGAGGGGTCCGGGTTATGGTGGAGATCTGCTGCTAGTTTCTTTAGACCCTCCATTGACACCTGGGATAGTTGTATCATTTAATATACATTTTAGGTTATTGTGCACCGTGATCTTGTGCACCGCGATCTTGTGCACCGTGATCTTGTGCACCGTGATCTTGTGCACCGTGATCTTGTGCACCGTGATCTTGTGCACCTGATCTTGTGCACCTGATCTTGCTGATTTTGAAGAGGACATTGAGATTTGATCTGATAACAGACCACAATAAGATTATACATTATTCCCCAGTGCAGTGTGAACTGTGCGTGATATATAACATTCCTAATGAAGTTAAGTTATTCTATATTTAAACACCCCGTAAGTTAACTATAAGTAAGTTAATATATAAGTACTGTATATATTAGATAAGTAAGTATAAGTAAGTACTATAAGTTAGTTATTTACTTCTGAACCGTAGAGTTTGACCCAGTAAGGCTATTAAGTATTTCAACTTCCTACAAATATCGGGAAGATGAGCACGGCATTCTTTGCATATTTCCGCCTATTTAAGCAATGTAAACCCTTAATGAGTTCTACTCAGGGACCCTCCCAATTAATCAGAATTTCATATAAAAGTTTTTGCGGTGGAATGTAGAGTCCTTAAGAAATATGCCAGGTATTCAATTAGTTTCTCGAGGGAGTGAACCATATCCCGTAGAAACCAGAGGTATTAAACAGAATTCAATATAGAAAGAAAAAAACAAGGCCTCACTTAGACACTAGTAACTGGGCTTTCAAGTCAGCTAAGGAAATAGTCCCGGTATATTATAGAGGTAAAATAGAGGTAAAATGAGGTAAAATGGAGGTAAAATGGAGGTTTGACTGTACCTTTTCATCGCCCCGATTGTCGACCATGTCCAGCGCTTTCTTGTAGCAACTCAGTGGGATCAAGTTCCTAGTCTCATCCTCCAGCAGACTGTGTCCTGCCCCACCTAGTGAATTGGATAATTAGTTAATTGGATAATTAGTTAATTGGATAATTAGTTACTAGGTAATTGGTCGATTGTATTGTTGGCACCATTTAACTTTACTCAAACAAGCAATACCTTGGTGAAAAAACAAAAAATGTCGAACAATTATCATTATACAATGTTACCTGGCCTGGGGACCTCAGGCTATCATGTTTATAAATAGAGATTAGGCGGAATGACAGGCTGAGCGCGGCCCAGTAATAAACAATGCGACTTAAAATAATGAGACTGTCAGGTGACAGGTAAGCGTACTTTACATATGACATGATAAAATATCAATAAATTATATTATCTATAAGTTTATAAACTACCATATATAAATACACGCTTTAGCATTAAAAACATACCCCGAAAAGATTTATCCAAGCTATTTATCGTGATATTGTATGGAAAAACAAAATTATGCACCTTATTAATCTAATAAATATGGTAACCAATATGCCCAAATATGGTCACAAACCTTGTTTGGAAGATTGCTGGTTGCCAAATATCTGCTGCTGTATACCGTTTACATTGTTTCTGGGAAATACGCGAGGTTAACAAGAGAGTGAGACTAACAAGAGAGTGAGGTTAGATGGTGGAGTGAGGTTAAAAAGAGATTGTGTATTATAACAAGAACGAAATCCGTGAAACTCGCAAAAAAAAACCCGGGTAAACAGGAATTAAAGATTTAATTGCAGAGGTAACTCACCTAAAGTAAACGTCAGTCCAGTAAATAGCAATGCTAGCACTGCATTCCACCACGAAGATGAGGTACATAGCACTGTCAAATGAGGGGTAGATGGTGAAGAGGAAGAGGTAGATTGAAAATACCATCCACCCAAGATGCCACGTGATGACGTGACGACGTGTGCAGTCGGGGAAATCGTCTATGTTCCAGTAGCAAATCACCTGGATTAGGGGTGAGTTAGAAACGGGATGATTCAACATTTAAATGTATACATTTAATATGGTGAGAATCATCTTTCAATGATGTTAAACTTAAAACGGATCAGATCACTTCAAACTAAATTACGAACTAAAATGCGAGGTGATTCACCTCAGGTGAAGTTAGATGGTGGAGTTAGGTTAACACGAGAGTGAAGTTAGATGGCGGAGTTAGGTTAACAAGAGAGTGAAGTTAGATGGTTGAGTTAGGTTAACACGAGAGTGAAGTTAGATGGTGGAGTTAGGTTAACAATAGAGTGAGGTTTGATGGTGGAGTGAGGTTAACAAGAGAGTGAGGTTAGATGGTGGAGTGAGGTTAACAAGAGAGTGGAGTTATATGGTGGAGTGAGGTTAAAACGAGAGTGAGGTTAGATGGTGGAGTGAGGTTAACATAAGAGTGAGGTTAGATGGTGGAGTGAGGTTACAAGAGAGTGAGGTTAGATGGTGGAGTGAGGTTAACATAAGAGTGAGGTTAGATGGTGGAGTGAGGTTAACAAGAGAGTGAGGTTAGATGGTGGAGTGAGGTTAACATAAGAGTGAGGTTAGATGGTGGAGTGAGGTTAACAAGAGAGTGAGGTTAGATGGTGGTGTGAGGTTAACAAGAGAGTGAGGTTAGATGGTGGAGTGAGGTTAACAAGCGAGTGAGGTTAGATGGTGGAGTGAGGTTTACAAGACAGTGAGGTTAGATGGTGGAGTGAGGTTAATATAAGAGTGAGGTTAGATGGTGGAGTGAGGTTAGATGGTGGAGTTAGGTTAACACGAGAGTGAGGTTAACAAGAGAGTGAGGTTAGATGGTGGAGTGACGTTAACAAGAGAGTGAGGTTAGATGGTGGAGTGAGGTTACAAGAGAGTGAAGTTAGATGGTAGAGTTAGGTTAACAAGAGAGTGGGTTTAGATGGTGGAGTGAGGTTAACAAGAGAGTGAGGTTAGATGGTGGAGTGAGGTTAATATTATAGTGAGTTATGATATTAGTAATGGTTTTTACCGCACCAAAATAGTAGAGGCATATGCGACAAGCAGCAATATGTTTCCCGGGTTAAATCTATGTGGTCCAAGATCAGCATTATATATCAAAGTTATCTGCCACAATGCGATACCTGAGGGGTTTATAAGGTAAAAGAAGTGAATCTGTTAATAAGTCAAGTATAATTTAGGGATTAAGATTATTATCGTGGCTATTGTAACACTACTTCTTATAAAACGTTTATGTACATAAATTAATTATTGCAAGGATTGACAAACAAAGCGGAATTAGTTCAATATCATTTTTTCCTCTATGCAATACCAACAGCCAAGTTCAGATCGAATAGGACGCACTCGGTGCAGTTGTCCTGAGCACGCCCTGCCAAACTCACCTAAACGTACCAAAACGTAACGTAATACTGGTCAGATTAAAGAAGACAACATTCAACTAAAAACAAATAAACTAACCTTCCACCGTAAATTTAGCCCATCTGGTGATACTGTGGGGGTTCTTGGAGTCAAAGGAGAAAACAATCGGAGCTTTAACAATTGGTTTAACTTTGAAAACCTTGCCAAACTTGTGAGCGAGACCAATACCAAGGAAACAGCATACCGTGTCTCGAATCAAGGAGTCGTACCTGAAACGGACAACTTTGTTAATCGTATCTATTTTAATCTAAGAGAAAAAAAGTTGGTACAGTTATATCTGACTTACCGTGGAGTTTGGGGAAAGGTAAAACGCCGCGTTAAATCAGGGTCCGCGGAATGTGAGGATTTTACCATGTTATATGTTATGTAAAACAGATAAAAATAGATTAAATATATTATTCGTTACATTAGCTATTATGTCAAAACTACACATTAATAAATGAGCCTCCCGGCTCATTACGTAATGATATGTGAACAACCCCATATGAGTGACCTCATGAAGAGTAGCTAGAGCGAGCGTTAAAAAAGCGCGCGCGCGCACTGGCAAGAATATGCGCAGTGTTACCTAAAATCAGACCTTCGCGCGTTACAAAAATGTGGCTATAAAATATTTTGAAAATTGCCATGAGGTGATAGATCACTCAAATAAAGTGAAATTGTATTTCTGAAATACACAATGCATTGAGATAATATAATCTACAAAGAAAAACAAGTGGTACTCTAAGGGGGTCCATTAAGGTGGAACAAGAGAATGATACCGTGAGAGCAAGAGTTGAGAAGGAGTAAAAGAGGGCACCGCTTGGCCACGTGATAAGCTCTATTACAGCTTGCAGTCCCCTCATTTAACACAGACCATTCAGCTAACGACTATGATAATGGTCAGGATATACCACATGTTCTTTAGTGGTTACACTCGGGTAGGGAGTATCATGTTTCAACTATGTACAGATGAACTGCTAAATACGAGCAAGTTTGCATGTTACACTGTAAATCATATTATGTTCAACTGATTTTTTGATTGTTCTGGAAAAGATTCGATAAAGTGCGACATTATTATTACACATGAACATGTATTACTCTCTGTGAAATGCAATGTCATAATGTAGTATAGCAGGAATGCATGGTTATTGGTTACAAGTAATGTATTGTCTGGGCGACAAGTATTGTGAAGTCAATAAAGTAATAACCCCTAGATTGTATCTTTGCATACTTAGTATTCCTTTGATTTGTAGTAATTTGTTTACATGACTTGACCTGATAGGTGTAATTACAGTGTATTGTATTGCGTGTAGGTATTGGTTACAAGAAGTATTGCGGAAGTTTGGGCCAATCTAATAACGTAACAGGAACAGTAGTTGAAATAACCATATTTGGGTATATCGATAACCATATATGGGCATATTGGTTACCATATTTGGGTATATTGAGTTATTAATAAGTAGATTGTACTCAGCTCCAAATTCAGATGGTGCAAAATTAAATATCAAGAATGTATACACTGTAAACACTTTACACTGATTAGAGACTGTAACTAAATTAAATGTTGAACATGCACAAACACACATTCCAAACATTCCAAACACACATTCCAAACATTCCAAACACACATTCCAAACATTCCAAACATTCCAAACACACATTCCAAACACACATTCCAAACATTCCAAACACACATTCCAAACATTCCAAACCAGTTCCAGCAGGAAATTCTTCTCTCATTTAAAACCCAAAATAGAATATTCAGATAAACTGACGACGAATGTAAAAATTCACATAATCCACATAATCCATATAAAACTGTAAGCTACTTCCTGTAACGGACATATTTGGAGCACCTACACTTAAAGATAATATATTGTAAACGTGAAGGAAACACATTTACAAACGGCCCATTTAATTGAGTAATAGTGTACTGACTTTTTACATGGAGCATAGTGCATATCAAATAGTGCATAGTTAGTGTATATCAAATAGTATAGTGCATCAATCTAATCACAGTAAAACTTCTTCTCACCACATCTTATTATCCGTATCTTAACTCTAAATACATTATTACTTCTGTCTAGCGAAGAGATTTCAGTCTCGCGTGTTTGGCCACATTCCACTCCCTCCATTACTATCTCCAATATCAGCTATACATTACTATCTTCAAATCGTTGGAGAATTTTATTATTTTTTCGATCTTCCACGTGATTAAAACACATGATTAAAACACGTGTTTTAATCACGTGTTCTCCTTTTCTATACTTGTTTTATGTTTATGCGATATTTATAATTTATACCGCATTACTTCTTGTTTAAGCTTCATGTCCTGCATCTTTCACACCAAGTTTCATAATTATTTATAAATTACTCCTTTGTCGGATTTCAATTTAAAGGAATTTATTTCTATAAAAGTTTACGGCCAATCCCAGCTTTCCTTGAATGACCAAGTAACACCAATCTCAGTAAGTGTACCGATAATCATAACGATACTGGAAACTTCTGGGGTTTACAAGTTATCGTTACGCATCAATAATTATAGAAAAATGAAGATCTTAAAGTCTTTCTTGAGGGCTGCAATAACCTTCAGATTGCAGGTTGCAAGCCTTGATTTATTTCACCATATCGATGTGGAAAAGGTGGAGGAGACCACCTACTCCACGATGGGATCTAACACTACAACTACTATACTAACACTACTACTACTACTACTAAAATACAATAGTAAAACATTTAGACCAGACTCTAACCAGGGTAGCGGGTCTTGTCACACAAAGATTGGAAAACAACGCCCCACTTACTGATCTTAACAAAGATTCAAGTGTATAATTAGATATAAACATAGTATGTTAACACATATAATGGCTATTGAGAACATAAAGAGAAGTCTACTACATAGTATAATACAGCTCTGTAATGGGTATTATGTGAGGGGAGAAGGTTCACAATTCACATACACAAGCAGCACACGCTTCACATACACAAGCAGCACACGCTTCACATACACAAGCAGTACACGCTTCACATACACAAGCAGTACACAATTCACATACACAAGCAGTACACGCTTCACATACACAAGCAGTACACGCTTCACATACACAAGCAGTACACGCTTCACATACACAAGCAGTACACGCTTCACATACACAAGCAGTACACGCTTCACATACACAAGCAGTAGACGCTTCACATACACAAGCAGTACACGCTTCACATACACAAGCAGTACACGCTTCACATACACAAGCAGTACACGCTTCACATACACAAGCAGTACACGCTTCACATACACAAGCAGTACACGCTCCACATACACAAGCAGTACACGCTTCACATACACAAGCAGTACACGCTTCACAGTTCACATACACAAGCAGTACACGCTGCCTACAACTATTCTGAGTGTGTTACCGGATTGGTTACTGATTAGATCACACGCCCTTTATACAAGGTGTCCATTGGTAGATAACCAGTAAAATGTTCCAAGTACAATTTATGTACAATATGACACAATCGTGTGGTGAATTACACCTTTACACGCGTGTAATGTAATACCAAGGGCGATGACAATGGTTACTTCATTTTTTAATTGATTAGAGAGAGAGAGAGAGAGAGAGAGAGAGAGAGAGAGAGAGAGAGAGAGAGAGAGAGAGAGAGAGAGAGAGAGAGAGAGAGAGAGAGAGAGAGAAAGAGAGAGAGAGAGAGAGAGAGAGAGAGAGGAGCACTTCTACGTCATATTCTACACTGTACACACAATACACAACACACTACACACTACACACTACACACTACAGACGTGTACATTCCAGCGTATACATACCAATTACCACGTGACTCACAGTAAATCACGCATTCCTCAGATTTCTTTTAGTATTTATTGGGTCCCTAAACTTTTTAATGATTATATATCACTCAGGTTCTCAAACGGAGGTAAAATAACTAGATGAGGAAACTTTAACATGGTAACAGTACAATTATACAAGATAATGTTGACATAGAAACATAGGTGAGGTGTAGAAATCAGCTTGTGTGTAGAACTGCACATAAAATTATAAAATATCACCCTTTTTACACTAGAATTGGAAAGTGAACATTTATTGTGTGAGAGGGTGAAGGGTCTGATACGATTACAGTATCCGATATCAGTTGTAAGTGTGGTATGAGTAGATAACCTAGAGAGAAGGAATGTGAAGCTTATTCTTGACACCAATCAGATTTGACTATTGAACGATCAAAGTTCATACCCCAGAATCACTGTCATGCGTTAAAAAATATGCAAAGCCTCCCAATACCAAAAGAAACCAAACTTTAACAAACGATAACTTGTTGTTTTCGCTTTCTGGTGACTATATACAACAGTATTATATTATTTTATCATAGAAAAGATGTGGAATTTGGTGGAGAGGTGAGGTATGTGTTGACACGTGACAGTCTAGTAATTCTGGGGTTTGATTGATCAATATAGTGTATGCTAATAACATGTGAAAATAGAGAGAAAATAAAAGGAAAATAAAGGAAAATAAAAGAGAGAGAGAGAGAGAAAAAGTACTTAATAAATACTGTTTCTTAGAATATTAACAAATGAAACACAGATTTGCTATGTTGAGGGACTACCAGCCCATTGCAGCCAGTTTCAAGTTTGTCGCCCTGATAACATAGTGAGCCCAAATTAAATCAATTAAGAAATATCAGTAACTAAATATCATAATAATGTAATAATTATAAAGGACTTACCTGGCCTCCATGTCCATGGGAGGATCCAGAGTAAAGCCCCAGTAACCACTTGTTAACCACAATTCTTCTATCATTTCATTAACAAACACTGCTATTATCAGTACCTTCGTGTTACCTGAACAAGTTATTTTTAATAATAAATAATAAGTATTATATCCATAACAATGTTAAATATATGTAATTTATTAATAAAAACCGACAGACACGCCAAACATTCAAACAAATGGACAGCGTAGGGGAGAGAAGAAATAATTAGGACTCCAACAAACATAATATGGAAATTATATATACATACATTAAATAACATACATACTCAAGGTGCCTTACGTAAAGTATTAAACTGAGTTTTCTAACAATTCATGAATTCAAGATGTATAAACCTGGAAATACCCTCATAGAAGGTTTTACAATGATATGGGTAAGATGGCTCCTGAGTCCTGATGAGCATAATTGAAATGTTGAATGTCCTACTCTGAGTTTCCTAATAATTGAAGATGTATAAACTAAGAATTATCCTCATAATAGGATGGTTGGGGCTACTTGAGCTGTCGAAGAGCATAATTGAGAAGAATATTAAATATGTGTTTTAACTTTAGAGCACAAGATTCCAACACATTGTGTGTATAACGACTAACGTTCCTAACGTGCCTAACGTGACTAACGTGCCTAACGTGACTAACGTGAGTAACGCTCTAAAGAGACTCATTTTCAATCTGTTGAGGGATTGTGGAAGACTGTAAAACTAAGGAGTTAGTTATCTATAAATAGACTGTTGGTTGTTAAGTGCAACCAGATGTTAACAGGGAATATCATGGGCTAATCTGTGTGTAACTCTCAATTTAAAAAGGTCACGTGTGTCACCATGTGACTGGTCACGTGTCCACCGTCCGGAGTCACACCACATCGGCTTAACTATAAATTAACTTTCTATTGTATTTCTTATCATGTGATCTAGACTATAACAAAAGGTACTACATTTATTAATTTAATAATGTGTAACCCGCGATTAAACTGTTTGGAAATTTCCCACACACTCAAACAGACACACATTTTGGGATTATTAGTATTGATTAAGTTTGTTAAGTACCCAGGCTTTGTTTAATTGAACGGTTTCTATGAAAACACATGCAGTGCGTGATTAAGAGAATAAAGGACTAAAGAAGTGATATTTGGTTGAAAACACTCATCATATTACAACTCTAGCCACCAATAGCTACGTGGAATTTGAACATCATCAGATAGTGTTTTAAACTCATACAAATTAAATTAAGGTACCTACCTAAGTATGAGGGATATTGGATAGTATATAAATAAATGAATAGCAGAGGTTTTCTCTGTTAAATGGAAGAAAAAGTTTACATGCATACATGCATACACAGTTTTTCAAACTTACTACTTAAAGCTTATCAAACATCATGCATAACAACGTTTTTATACATTATTGTACTGAATGACTACGCATGATTTATACACATTGTACACAAATCATATCATGTTATACACAACAGTACATAAGATTTACACAGAATTTGTCACATCTGAGACCACCTAAACCACTGCACACAAAGCTATTGTGTGAAAACTAGCAAGTAAGCCTTTTACAAATCCCAATGACACTGATTAATCAATTAGTTAATTAATAATTAACAACTGACCTATTAGAATGTAAAACTCGAATGTTCCAATGACGTGAGCGAAGTTAAACGCAAACCCTGAGATCACCTGTGAGATATTAACGTTAAAATTATCTCTATAATATATTATCATATTTAAACATAATCATTAAAATAAGTTACTATCGTAAAACATGATTATTACATTGTTGTTCAATCGAGTGATTCATATATCAATTTTACAGTCTATAGTCTTTTATAGGAGGACAGTTTCTGTGGAATCTCAAATGTAATATGTAATATAGGTATGACATGTATTTACTGTAATAGTAATATATAAATATAAATGTTAAGTTTTACAGCAGAAATTCCATAGAATCCTGCGGAGTATTAATACAGACGGATTTCATGAATTTGTGCTAAATCTGTAGTTGAGTAACTCAAGATCTCGCCAGCAGTGAAACCCTCGTGTTATAACATTATTTGCTAAAGGTTCCTTTTTCCTTTTTGCTATTGGCCCAGGCCATGAAAATATCTTCTTCCTACTAGCCCCCATGTATATAAAACTCCACGAAGTAAAGTTTAACCATTCTCCTAATTTTGCAACAGTTTCCATCGCAACTTTCTCGTCATGAAACTCTTCCTTGTTGCTATCACTCTACTTGTACTGTCACGTGGTCAAACAGAAGCCCACGTGTGTTGTGGTGAAGTGCTGGGGGAATGTGCTGGGGTTGGTTGTGACTACGAGTGTTGTAACTGTGATGTGTGCGTTAACCATGAGGTTAACCATGAGGTTAACCATGAGGTTAACCATGAGGTTAACCATGAGGTGGACACAGCTCTACAGAACTTAGGACATTGCAAGTGGTTAAAGTTAGTTGTTTATTTCACTTTATTGTAGTTCATTATTATATAATGGGTATTATAATTATCATATTGTTAGTGGTATGAGAGAAACTAAGCATTGTTGTGCTATAAACACAGCATGTTTTTAACTAAATTAGCAGCTAAAGCTTTCCTTATTGACCAGGTGTGCAACAAAGATTGCCATGTGCGCAGCAGAGTGTTGTGGAGGTGAGTGCACTGTCAGCGCTACTTGTGTCACATGTCTTGGGAGCTTCTACGAGGACTGCAAGGGGTGCTGGTCTAAAGAATTCTTAAATTGATCAATGCTAAAGGTGGACTGCAGATGGACTTAATTGTATAGACTAGTGTTGTATATTTTTTCCCGATCCATGACTCAAAGTGCCGAAGGCACAAAAGAGTCAAGGACAAGGGTTAGCGATCGAGGTTTTTTTATGTTGATATGGTAGCTTTGCGACCGTGCGACCGTGTGTGCGAGTGTGCGACCGTACCTGCCCTCGCGCACTGTTATCGCCCACGTGACTACCTGCGCAAAGTTATTTTGCGCACAAATCTGAATTAAATAATTGTTGGCGCGCGGCGCTGAACTGACCAAGTATATTATTAATTTCACAATGTACATATCCCACTAGGCACTAATTGATAGCATACTATTATTATTTTAAGTTACTATTACTATTTTGCACAGATCCGTGTCGGGTGTCAGGTTGCATAAACAATAAGCATATGCATATATAATAATAATATATGGTTACATAGAAATTATATACACGATTTTCAAATTCAATATGGAATTATATTAACTTGGTGGCGCTCGGCCTGTCACTCCGCTATATCTGCATGCTTATAAACAGTTAAAACTGGGATCTCCAGGTTGTATGGAATATGATAAAATACGCCATCACGGATCGGGAAATTGAGCGGCCATCCACAAAAAAAGCGGCCGCATTTCTTGTTGACTAATTGTTCATGGTGTAATGTGAATACAGTTTTGTTGTTTTGATATATTATGCATGTTTTTAATTGAGTGAGAATTGATAAAATTACATAATATTACATAAAATTACAATATAAGGTAGAATATGGTTTACGTTTCGAAAAAAAAATAAAGAGAAAATTTTGAATGGCCAGGAAGTGACGAAGGGATAGTCATGTGACATGCTCAAACAAGATGTGAAGTAATTCTTACCTTAGACCAATAATCCGCAACACTCCATTTCCATTCACACATACAAAATGTGCCTCCCAAGTCGTAAAAGAAAATATCTTTTCCTTCTTTTGCTGGGAGATGAATCGGAATTAGCCATCAAATTCTCACATTCACCTCTAGCAAACAAAATACGAGTATTTATATCGATAAATTACTGTATAATATACAATTTGATTTTATTTATTTACTTATCTGGTAATTAAATAATTTCAATCAAAGATAAACTTACCGGTTGCAAAGTCTGACTCAGTTGGCATAGGGATGTCATTGGAAGGGGGATTTTTAAAGTATTTTTTAGCAATGATCCTCGTCATCACAGCAATGCCAATACAGGCAACAGCAAACAAAGTGTTTTTCCTCTGCGACATTCTTAAAGGGAGAATTTCGTTATTAAGTCATGTAATAAATAACTAAATAAAATGTAATATTGATTACACGAAGATGTAAATTATGATGTAAATAATGCATAATAAGTTGCTCCAGAATTTTAAGCTCAATGAAATATTGAGAGAATAATGAAGAAGAGAATAATGAGAAGATTTATACCTAAAGAGCTGTATAATGACCTCTACCACACCCTCCTCGAATCTCATCTAGGATATGGGATCTCAGTGTGGGGAGGCATATCGAACAATAGGCTTGAACCAATATTTAAAATTCAAAAAAAGTGCACTCGTATTCTATTTGGTGATCAAGAGGCATACAGTAATAAGTTCAAAACATGTGCTAGAACCCGCCCAATTGGATCCCAAAAACTCGGAGCCGACTTCTATAAACGAGAATCAAGTAAACCCCTTCTCAGCAGAAACAAAATACTCTGCGTGCATAATTTGTATAAGTACCACTGTCTACTTGAAATGTTTAAAATAATCAAACTTCACACTCCAATACCGATGTACAATTTATTTCAAAAGTCACCCCGACGTGATAACTACTTTATTAACCCCGCTGCAACCAATTTGTTTGTATATAAAACCTCGAATATGTGGAATAAATTCCTTAAACCTTCTAGTAAGATTGACTTCTCGTCCCCAATTGCACTTGTTAAAGGTCGCATTAAAACTATGCTACTCAATGCTCAAAAAGCTGGAAACACTGATGAATGGTCAGAACTCAACTTTGATGGAAATGACATGTGCCTATAATTAAGAACACACAAACTAGTCCATATAGATTTCATACTACACACACAAAATAACACACACAATACACACCACAGTCAAACATAGAAACTATATATTCACGCATGTAACACAAAACACTGATCAGCTCATCCGCTTTACACTAGTGTCTGGACTTGTCTGGAGTGTTCGTCTGGAACGTGGGACGGACTCACAAATATATTGTGTAAACGTAGCGCGCGAAACTTAAATATTGTATAACTCTATCATTTCATTACCCAGCGTGATTTACCGCGCCAGAATAATGAAATGAAGCCGCGCTATATCCGTGAACCTACAGTGACTTATATTTTATATTTTGTATCTCTTACTACGTAACGCGAAATTAAGTTGTATCACACTCCCGGTTTTGGACCCCAATGTTAACCTTGCAGCAACTGTGTCAGCCCAATATACTCTAGAAGTATGATCACACTTATTTTAATGAACAAAAGACCCATAATTAATATAATCAGATACTCGTCAACAGCAGCAGTTTCCTTACGTGTGATGTGTTGTCCTTCTCCTTTCTGTGTCCCTGTCGTTTTGTTTTGTGAAATGTATTGTAGTAGTGTTTTAATATTTAAATCGAACGCAACTCAATAGTTAATAATAACAAACACAAATACTATTTTAAATAATTGATTAATATCGATTTATATACGAACCAAACATTAATTAATCTTTAATAACCTTTTATATATGTGTTAAACGATCCAGGGCATATCTAAAATTCGATAATGAACTTCATATATTATTAGTGCCACGTGCTGATAAATATTCTGGGAATCAATCCACCCAATCGTGGCGATAACATATTTTTGTGCTTGGCCTGTTTTAGGTTTGAGTTTGTGCTCCAAAAGTGGTAAATCGGGTGCTAGTAAAGCTCTTGCAGGCAACTGGCTCCTTTTGCCAACTGCTTTTGGTTTAAGCGCTGACTCACATTTGGAACTGGCACTGGTATAATTGTAATATCCTACGAAGTCAGCATGCTATATTATTTTGCAAAACTCGTTTAATATCTTGACAATATTTAAAGTTTATGGTTTTAGGTTTAGGCGCGGCGCACGCACCGCTTATATGTTATAGCTCATTCAGCTTCTGTTTTCAGCGCTGTGTTGCTACACACTGTATAGCATGTGGGTCAAGCGCGGTGCCGCGCCTAAACAGCAAAAGAGTTATTTATTTTAAAATTTATTTTTGTATCTCAAAAATGATGTAAAGTTTTTAATATGACGAAGAATTAAAGCTATTTCCGTACAGCCTAAGTGCTAAGCATGCTCGTTAGAAAAACTATGAACAATGAACATAACATGCTAGCTTTCTTTATTTTGTAAGTCGCGTCGGCTGACATCTTGGGTTGTACTGGATGTAACAAGTTTATTATCGGATGTCTACTTATATTTATTATGATATCATTATTCATTGTAATGGCAATAAAATTTAAATTTTGTTTTACTTAAAATTTTGTTTTACTTATTGTATTTAAGTGCAACGGTATCAGTTAGTTTGATTTTTCACTGTATCTGTAATTTAAATCATCATTAAATGAGGCTGTTACACCTGGTGAGCAGCCCAAAAAAGATGTTATAATTTTCTTCTTAAAAAAACTAACTAATATTACCATGTAATTGTATTTTAGCATTCTTTCAACACAAAAAAACAACAAATAAATTGAGAAGAGACAATTCGTTCTGAGAAAAGACAAAATTGACTGAGATAATTGAGTACTAAGAACACATATAGAACAGTAATACCCTGGTTTTTTGGTTCCCCAATTTTTTAAACAAACCCTGATTTATCATAGCCTTTCTTCACTTTACTTTACTTTTTCTTATTCAACCAAGTATATACTAGCCATACACATTACACTGTGCGAACAACCAAAAACCTGATCTGACATTTGCCAAAAACCTAGATTAATCATGACAGCTACCTCTTCTCCAAAAATAATTTAAGTCAAAAAATATTATACACAAATAAATTCGGCATTCGTAATTTGAAAAAAAAAGAAAAAAGGGGGGACCCCCAACCCATGTAGCTGATACACCTCACAGCAAGTAGACCAAAGTGGATCTTGCTTGTGAAGGGTGTATCAACTACCCGCCGAGGCGGTGGGTTGGGAGTCCCCCCTGGGATCATTTCGTCCGTAAAATTTTACACATTATAAAAGCTACAATAAATTATCTATAAATTCGTAATTGTCTAACTACAGGGTGGCCCATAAGTGACTACCCACACGCAACCTCTTAATAACTCACGTAATTCGTCTCCAAATTGCACCAAAATTTCAGAGATTATAGATATGGGTCAAACTTAGACTTCCTGAAAGTTTCGTAAGCCACGCCCAATTACAGTGGGCGTGGCGTGACACTCCCTCTTTTTCACTATTGTCTTCACAAAATGAGAACGCTTTAAGCTAAGAACTCAAAATTTTTTGCACACATTTGGCTTGATAATTAAAAACTTTTCCAAAAGTTTCAAGTTCATTGGTTTAAATATGGCTGAGTTATGACCATTTTAAAATCCATCGGATATGTGATCCGAGCACTCAGTCAGTGATATTTGCACTCAATTAGTGATCTCGTCACCCAATCTGATCAAGAGTAAGGCGTTAGCGTGTATTAATGAGGTTCATTAGGCTTTGATTGGATACCGATGATGACTTTGCTAGAAAGGGAAACACAAATTTTTAGGATAAAAACCAGATCGTGACCTTTTCAGGAAAAGCCGTTCTCTCCACCACTTCATCCGGTCTAGTAGAGCCCCAGTGAATTGCATTCTGGGAATTGACATATCCGTTTATATGGCCTTGTCGATGTACCAGATTTCGTCCTCAAAGTAGGGATCCACATTGTGCTTGGACAGGAATGTGTTGGCGAAATCTATCCTCGATTGGAAATCACGGTCCAAAAGTTTGTGTTTCTTTGTGATTCGGTAGGCCCGGTTAGAAAGGTCTTGCTTTAGGATTCGCTGAAGGGTTCTGCTGATGTCTAAGGCAGGAGCTCGTTTCCGGGTGCCAATCTTAGGTGTGTCCATCACGTCACCAACAACCATCGTGATGTTTTCTACAGTCCTCGCAGTTCGTCTTCTGCCGATCGTGTGCAGAAAACGTAAACTTGATCTTGTGATGAATGTCAAAGCAGCTTTTCCGGCAAGGGGGTGGTCGGTTGAATTTCATCTGAAATTGTCGTTTAATCTGAGGGTAGAACTCCCCATTTTCTTTCTTCAGGTAGACGAACAATCGTTGTTCTGCAGTAAAGGGAGGATAGTGAACCATTTTCGATGATTCAATGGATGGTTCATTCCTTTTTTATTGATTGTAAGGAACCTGTGACTAGCAGGGCTAACAAGCCCTGAAATGGTGACACCACCATAAATTCGTGTGATAGCGTTTTAGGTGCAGTCAGCTGTATAGGCCGGCCCATAAGCAGGCTGCAACCAATCAAGCGGTGCATGTGAGCCAAACAGGCCATTAACCAAGTGACGAGATCACTGACTGAGTGCTCGGATCACGTATCCGATGAGTTTTGAAATGGTCATAACTTAGCCATATTTTAACCAATGAACTTGAAACTTTGGGAAAGGTTTTCAATTATCAAGCCAAATGTGTGCAAAAAATTTTGAGTTCTTAGCTTAAAGCGTTCTCATTTTATGAAGACAATAGTGAAAAAGAGGGAGTGTCACGCCACGCCCACTGTAATTGGGCGTGGCTTACGAAACTTTCAGGGAATCTAAGTTTGACCCATATCTATAATCTCTCAAATTTTGGTGCAATTTGGAGACGAATTACGTGAGTTATTAAGAGGTTCAATTAAACAAATAATCAATTAAACAAATAATCAAAGTTTTAGCACATTTTACAGCATAAAATTTAAACAAATGAAAACATATAATGCTCTTAGTGGTAAATGGCCGTTTGTTCTGAGCTGTATGATTTTTTGACAATCAACTAGCGGGGCAAGGAATGTACTGGCTGGTAGCTTTTGTACACACCAAAACGCTAGTCTGGTTGATTAATGACCAAATTAGAGGCGTTGATAGGAAGGCATTATAATTTGTGGGTGTAAGAGGGAATATTTGGCATGCATTATTCTAGCAGCTGAGTTGCGTGTGGGTAGTCACTTATGGGCCACCCTGTATAAGGTTAGACACCTATAAGTAATCTTCTGTCAATAAATAAATAAATGAAAACGGTATTTAACTTATATGTTATAAAATGGTCAACTAAAAATAAACTTCCATAATTTCACATCACAACAACATGCAGTTCAGGCCGTT